AAACACATGAACTAACAATAAAATCTTAAGAATTCCTTTTAAATTTGAAAAAAAAATGAAAGTTTATTATACATTATCATGGAAGACTTACCTGGAAGTCTTCTTCAGGAAGAGTTTCATGTAAGTCTTCTAGCGGAAGACTTCCATGTAAGTCTTTCATTTAGATCATTATGCAATTGAATATTTGAAAAAAAAAGACTTTTAGAGAAGTCTCCTATAGAGAATACTTCTCTGGAAGTCTTCCTTTGTAAATATTGGCTTACTTTTCTAATGCAAAAATTCTCGAAAATATAACATGTTAAATTTACAATTGACCAATTTGCGTCAGAAATTCGACTTTCTACGGAAGACTTTTAGATAAGTCTTCCGCCGGAAGAGTTCGGAAGACTTACCTGGAAGCTTTCTCAACCTTTAAATTAAGTCTACTCGATACGCTGGAAGACTTCGGAAGACTTACCTGAAAGTCTCCCAATTTAAATTAAATGTTTTAAGTTTAAATTTTCAATTGCAAAAGTAACCTACGCAGATCTCAGTAGACTTAATGTAAAGGTTGAGAAGACTTACCTGGAAGTCTTCTGTAGAAAGTAAAATTTCTTACACAGATTGGTCAATTGCAAACCTAACCTATTTATCCGAGAAGACTTTCAGGTAAGTCTTCTCAATTTTTTTTTTGTCTACAAAGAAACTTTGGAAAACTTCAACGATGGTCTTCTCTAAAAAACACAAAAAAAAAGTCAATTGCAAAACTAACATATTCTTGGCGAGAAAACTTCCACGAGACTGAGAAGACTTACGAAGACTTTCACTTACGTATTATAGCGAAAAATTTGGAAAAAAATCAATGCATACCTTCAACAACCACTGAGAGATCTTGATTAGTTCTCCAAGCACACACAACTTCACCAAAACATCTACTCAATCTTTAATGACCAGAAAACATGAGCTTAAATGGCTATATGACCCTTAAAAACTTTAGAATAAAAAGCTTAGATTTTTTTTAGATGGATATAGATAGAAAGTGAGAGAGATGTAGTTTTTGGACATAAGATATATGAATGAACGAGTAAATTTCATTTTTTAGATTAGGCATGGGCATTCGGGGTCCCAGTCAGGTTTCAGTTTTGTTTAATCGGGTCTCGGGTTTTTGGGTTTATCAAAATCAGCCCCATTCGGATTATTTGAGTTTTGTTCGGGATCGGTTCGGATTCTATCGGGTTTGGGTCGTCATCAGTAAATTTTCAAAGAACCGATATAACCCATTGTACTTTCGGATTCGGGTCTCAATCGGTTATTTGGTTTAAAAGTACCTTATTTGTACCTACTTTGTAACCAAGACATAATTAAAAATTGGTTCTTCAGATCTAAAGTACCTGATTTGTAACTATTTTGTAACCAAAACATAAGTATATTGATTCAAAAATAAGAAAAGAACATCAAACATGATCGTTCAAAATCAAATGAAAGTTAAACATAGTTATTGATAAAAATAAAACCAAATAAATGAAATCATAAAACAGAAATCAAGTTCTTAAGAAATGAGAAACATTATTCAAAAAAAACAAAACTAAATCCAAAAATTTCAAGCTTCAACCGCCACCTTCAACCATCAACCTTAACAGATAATTATTTTAGATGTTCAGTAATATCTTAAAGTAATTTGGATACATATTAGGAATTGAGATCACGTTCGGTAAACATTCTTTTTGAAATTTTGAATGTGTTAGGTTCTATCAGATATCCATTTAATTTCGAGTTCGGTTCGGATAATACCCATTACCCAAAATACCATAAACACAAGATCCATTCGGTATTTATGTTGGGTTCAGATCGGTTCGGATTCATTTTTATAGAATCGGATTTGGTTAGGATTTTTGAGTTCGGTTTATTTGCCCAGCCCTATTTTAGATGCATTAAGAGTTTCATTTTGGTTGTTCATGGTTGTTAGATGAATTGATGGCAATGATGTTTTCGTGATTAATTGATGAGATGAGGACGAGAGAGTAAAACAATCATTTTTGAAAAAAAAATAAAAATAAAAAAGAGGGCCATTTTTGTGAATAAATCATAACTTTGGAGTAGACTGGACAAATGAAATATCCAAAAAAAAAATTTAGTTTTGTGTTGTTTTGGGTCATTTTTGAAACAAACTCATTATATAAATGAATGTTGAATTTGTAGAACATTATTGTTATAACCTTACTGCAAGAATCAATGGTTACTAGATGTTTTCTTGCACCATGTACACTAATAAAACTTTGAAACTTAAATTACAAATTATTATTTTCTTACCAAAATTTTATATCAGTTTGTATAAATTAATAAAAAGTCTTATAATTATCAAAGAGTACAATTAAATATTATTTCTAAAATTTCTAAATATATAGAAGAAGTCAATAATATATGCTTTAAATTTTCAAAATTTGTAAAAAAATGAAAATATTTTCTATTAAAGAAAGTTGTATTTTTTATCAATAAAATTGTATAATCATAAAAATAAATAATATATCAATTTTTTGTAAACTTTTATTATGTTTCTATTATTATATTATTTAATATTAATTTCGAAGAGATTTACTATGATGGTATAATTTAATACCTTATTCTAAAAAGTTTACAAAATTAAAAATATTCTAAAAATGTTACCAAAATTATAAATATACATTAAATTTAATTATCTATGTTATATTAAGTTATTTGTCATGTCATCTTTTTAGTATATCATGTTACATTAATTCAGTAAAAATGATTATAAAGAAGATATGTATCCAAATCACTTTATAAATAATGTATAAGGTATGGTAAATGGGATAAAGTGATAGGTTTCCAAGGATGGCCTTCAAAAAAAATTCTAACTTTGTATATTACATTTTAGTTTTCAATATTATTAATAATTAACTATAATCACTAAAATTTTATAAAGAAGCAATAAACATAAATTTCCAATAAAGGACATCTCCAATAATAATATGTAGTCAAATATAACTATACATAATATAAAAATTGTTAATAATATATTTTTAATTGGAATAGTTTATAGAAACTATATCGATAATTATTAAAACATGATATATAAAAAGTTATCATGCAATTGTTAGACTTTTTATAATTGTAGAGACTACAGTGAAAAGTGAATAGTATTTAAAAGGATCAACAGTGATTTTTTGAATTTGAATTTGAAGTGTCACTATTCACTCATTTAAAAAATAAACGGATAAATGGTGGTTGGAAAACAAAACCATTTAAAAAAATAAATGGATAAATGGTGGTTTGAAATGCTCTTAAGGATGCTAATAGTTACAGTTGAATAAATTATTTATAAGTGTACTGTCCCGTTTATCTAAATATGCGATCTTCTATATACATATATATATATATATAGAAATTAGAGAGCACAATTTCTCTTTATAAACTAGAAACATAATTAAATATAGAGAGCTCTTAGATATAAGTGTACAAGAGTCTTTTAAAGTGTTTGCGGAAATATACGTTATAAAACGTGTATAGAAGTGTACATACCCCAGTTACAAAAAAAAAGGTGTACATACCTACGTGTATGTATTACACACAGAGAGAAAGAAGAAGGAACAGAGAGCCATTAAATAAAAGGAAATAGAAAAGGGACAGAAACGTACCCAAAAGAAGTAAGAGAGAGGCTTATGAGTTGTGACCCAAAAGACCTTTCCATTTTCATGCATCTTTTTTTCTTATTTACTTCCTTCCTTCTCCTCATCTTCCTTTCCAATTTAATTCTATTTAAGTTTTAATTTAATTTATACCCACTTACCTTAAATATCCACTTCTCCATATATATTCAGCTAATTAACTCTCTTAATTTATTTCACTTCAACAATGTAATTCAGTTCTCTTATTTTTATAAGTTAGAAAAAAACCGAAATATCCGATTCTAGTTTTGTTTTTACAACATAAAAATTTTTCGCAGACAAAATAAAAACATAAAAGTTTTGATTATTTAATTTACTTCAAAACTCTCTCTATGTTTGTCCTTCTTCTTCACGCCGCCTACCAATATAAACACTCTCTGTCTCTAGCCATTCTCTCTCTCTCTCTCTCGCACTCTCTTTGCATTTTCCTCTCAATTTTCCTAGAACCTTTTTTGTTTTCATTATCTTCTGATTTCATCTCTCATTAGTCTCTCTTCTTCATTAAAATGTTTTCTTTTTGATTTTTTGTTTTTTAATTTTTCTTTTGTTTCCTTTTCTCTCTTTGCGTGTGTGAGATTTTTTCCTCCATCATCACCTTTTGCCGATTGGTGATTTTCTTATATGTGAATCTTTGCTGCTTCAACCTCACTGGTAAACAACTTTCTCTCGCATTTGTCATCACTAATATTTGTTTTTTTCTGTTCTACATGGAGATTTGATCGGAATATAAAGATTTGATTTTTTTTTTCCTTCTGTGTATTGTGAGTTATTTCTAAATTCTTTTCTACCCTTTGATGGTCTTTGATCGTCGTACATTATCTCAGTTTACTTTTTCTTTTTAAAGATTTGTGTGTGATCGTACAGATCTTCTCCTTTGTTTTTTCTTTGTCCGTACATAGTACAGCTTTCTAGACTTTGATCAAATCTGATGATCATTTTGTGTTCATGTTAGGAGACTCATGATTCATGCTAACTCTGTTTGATCTTACTACTGAAAGATTTATTATGTAAATGATTCTTTTTAAGTGATTCAGCTTCTACTGAAACTGAAGTTATCTCTCTTTAATTAACACCAAAAAGTAATGTTGTGTTTTTTTTGTTTTTGATCTGCTTCAGAACCCACCAATGATTAATTTTACAGTATTTTTTTATTATAAGGTCTTCTTGAGTAAGAAAAAAAGAACAACAACTTGTGACACTTCAGATTTTTTTGTCTGTTTCTTGGGTTTTTTTGTTTGTTTTGGTTGCAGCTCTCTAAAAGTATTATTCGTTGCTGCTCACTGGAAGGTTGGATTTTTTTTCATCAGTTGTCTGTGTGCAAAACCATCAATCTTGAGAATGGATCAGAGAAGATATGAGCCAGAGTTTGATGAATTTGAGAAGCTTCTTCTAGAGATTCCCAAAGTTACTTCAGGAAACGAGTACAGTCCTTTCCCTGTATGTTTGAGCTCAAGCAGATCAGCACCTTCCATCAAGAAACCAGCTCCATTCCAAGAACAACATCTTCATCTTCCCGGTGACTACGCATTTACATCTTCACTTTCTCAAGGAAACTTAAACTTTGGAATCTCAAATCAAACTCCGGAGAACCCCCAACATATGTTCAGCCATTCTTACCACTCTCCACCTTGTGTACATGACAAGTTTGATTCAAGAAAACTCGATCCTCACATGTTTAGGAAGCTGCAACATGTTGGTTGCTTTCCGAGTGTCTCACCTCCTCAGCCGCAGCGTTACATGACATCCTCTCTCCCTCACCATCAAGCTTTGGATCAGTCTCATATCAACTGGAGGAATACTGAAGAAGAGAGGCTGAATCAGCAAGAAGAACAACAGTACATGCCAGTGAACCCTCATTACCTTTATCTTTGTAATAATAACAACTACCCTTTAATGGATACTTCTCCAAGACAGAACCATTCCCAGTATCACCGGCCTAAACAGTCTAACAACTTGTTTTGTATTGGAGAAGATGGCGAGGAGAGGAGTGTGGATGGGGCAAGGAAGAGAATGTACTATCCGGAGAAGCTTCTAGTGAGATCACCACTCGGTGTAAACACAGCTAAAGTCATAAAGTACGGTTCTGGAGAAGACTCACAGAACAGAAGACTTTGTTTGCAGAATCACCAACTCGGTGAAGATATCTCAATGAGCCTCAACAATCTAACGTTGCAGCCTCCAAAATTCTTCTCTCTTGCAGAGGCAAGAGGAAAGATCTACTACATGGCTAAAGATCAGCACGGTTGCCGCTTTCTGCAGAGGAAATTTGCTGAGAGAGATGTGAAAGATATCGAAATGATCTTCAACGAGATCATTGACTATATCAGTGAGCTTATGGTAGATCCCTTTGGGAACTATCTAGTTCAAAAGCTGCTTGAAGTATGCAACGATGATCAGAGGATGAGGATTGTTCATTACATATCTAGAAAGCCAGGATTGCTTATCAAAATCTCTTGTGACATGCACGGGTAAATATTCGATTGGAATATATGTAATGTGTTTTGTTAATTACGTGAAGTGATCTTTTTTACGTTTAAACAGGACCAGAGTTGTTCAAAAGATAGTTGAAACGGTTAAGAGACAAGAGGAGATTTCAGTCATCATCTCTGCTTTGAGGCATGGCATTGTGACTCTGATGAAGAATGTTAACGGTAATCACGTTGTTCAACGGTGCTTGCAGTATTTGTTACCTCACTGCACAAAGGTAACGACTAGCTTCACTTCACTGTTATTTTTTTATAAAAAGATTCAGATGTGATTCTTTTCTTTTTGTCTCTTCAGTTTCTTTTTGGAGCTGCGATGACTCATTGTGTTGAGCTTGCAACTGATCGGCATGGATGTTGTGTGCTTCAAAAATGCATTGGCTATTTCGAAGGAGAACAAAAAGATCGCTTAGTTTCTGAAATTGCCTCAAATGCTCTACTCCTCTCTCAAGACCCTTTTGGGTTTGGGTCTTTTCTCTTTTGAGTTTTTATAACCATTGCTTGCAGATTATGGAGATAACTTTTTTTTATGGCAGGAACTACGCTCTTCAGTACGTCTTTGAGCTACATCTTGAATGGGCTGTCAACGAGATTCTCGAGCAACTAGAAGGGAACTACACCGAGTTATCGATGCAGAAATGTAGCAGCAATGTAGTTGAGAAATGTCTGACACTAGCTGATGACAAACATCAGGCTCGTATCATCAGAGAACTCATAGCATATGGTCGTCTTGATCAAGTTATGTTGGATCCTTACGGAAACTATGTCATTCAAGCAGCTCTTAAGCACTCCAAGGTAACACTCAAAGAAACAAAATCACAATTGTTGGTTGATTTAGATTCAGTATCTAATGATGAGAGATTGTTGCAGGGGAGTCTACATGGTCTTTTGGTTGATGCCATTAAAGTTTACATCTCATCTCTTCGTACCAGTCCTTACGGTAAAAAGGTCCTCTCTGCACTTAACTCGAAGAAGTAAAATCAGCAGGTAAAATTAATATCCTAGGAACTGAAACTGTTTTTGTTTCTTGACTTTACAATTAATATGTTCCTTTTTTCTTGACAATATTTGCAGATTTGTACCAAATGTTGCTGTTTGTTGTTGGTAAAGTTACCTTGTAAATGTAATGTGTAATAAGAGTAGAATTCGCATGTTTTTGGTTAAAAGATCCAAAGAGACAAAAATTCAAAGAAAACAGCTTTAATCTAATCTTACATTCATCTCTTAGAAGAAACATATAATGTTTCTATTATACACTAACAACGGAAAAAACGCCCCTAAAAACTGATTTTTCATCCAAGAAATGGCCACAAATATCAAAATGTTTTATTTTCGTATTTGTGGTACGGTTTCTTGGAACAGAAGTTTTTGAATAAAAAGAGGAGGAATGAATTAACAGGTCAAGATTCAAAAGATAGTCATGGGTTTCATACGTGTTGGTTACTGAAAATATTTGAAATAAAATAGTTTAATAAGATAAATAAAGTGTGACTATCGTGCCCAACAAGATGAATTGATCGTGACACGAATTTAATAAAGTGTTTAATATTGAAACCCCCACAACTTACGGGCGATGATGATGACTAAGTCAACCTGTCAAAATCACTTAGGTAAAGAGTCGAAGCTTTGGTTCATTTGGGTTACAACTTTGGTAACTAAAACGAAAGAATTCAATTCAGTAAGAATGGTTTGACCTCGTTTTATCTATCAGTTACATTCGATTCTCAATCATTTTCTTTTAAACAATTCGATTCAATCATAATATTTCGTTGCTTTGTTCATTTTATTTAATTCCAAGATGTATTTCATTTTTCTTAAAAAAAAGATTCAAATCAATTTTATTTTATGCTTGATTCTTTTTTGGACTTTTTTAAACAGAACAATGTCATTTTATAACCAAATTCGTACTTTTAAAATAAAAAGTAGTTACTACTATAATTTAATAGAAGTTGGTTCGTGATGTTGTCATTTTTTATTTGAATTCAATTTAATCAAATGTGATTCAGTTTAAATCAAAAAGTACGAATGATTTTTTATAAAAATCAAAATTATATTAAATAAAAAGTTAGAACTCGTTTTAAAATTCGATTCTTAGAAGTACAAAAAGTAACTTCTAAACCAAATTTGTATTGTTCTTAAACATTGGCGGTAAATCGACTCGGTAAAAAAAATTATGACACCTTTTCTCCTCTATTTAAAGTTTTTATGCACAATACACAGTTACACAACACACAAAGACAAATCAAAAAGATCGATCATTGTGCAGAGAGACATGGTGTTCCGCGGCGACACAGTGATGTCCGTAGCTCATTTATCGGCAGAGATCTTTCAGGGATTACGGTGGATTCCGCTGTCGGATCGAATCAGAAGCGGCGAGATGTTGCAGCTCGTCTGCTGTTTTCCGCTTCAACAGTTGGGTCGATTCGTGTTATGGTTCTGGAGTTATATATGTCTTCCACCTCCAGAGATGATGATGATGATCTTGATAACGATGAGGTTTATGGATCATCTTCGTCTACTTCTATTGTTAATCATCATAATTACTATCATCTTCGTTTGGAGTGACAAAGTTTTCGTTTGCTAGTTTTTTACTTGTAAAAGTATTTTTTTTTCTTATTTGTATAGAAAAAAAATCATTGTGTGGGTGTTTTTTATTTTATGGACTTCCTTGGGATTGTTGGATAGATCGGTGTATGTTTCTCAATCCTTGTTTATAGAAGCAATCAAGAGTTATTGAGCATTTTGGTGATTGCATAAAGTTTAAGATTTCATCATTTTAGGAGTCAAATGAGCTTGTGTTGATGTGTTACTTGTGTACAAATCTTCGCCCTTTTGATGGAGATCATCAAGTAACAATCTTAGTTTATTCTTTGTTAAGTTAGATTAACTCTGGGGAAATCCGTTTGATCTATAAATGTTTTCTAGAGTATTTAATTAGGTGATATAATGATGCAAATTGGGAGGGTAAATATTAGTTAAGGATATAGAGAGCTCATCATGCTTAATTTTAGATTAAAAAGTTTGGTAGATCAGTGTTTTGTCCATAATTTCAAATTTTTGGTCATCCTTAAATCTGATATGTAGACTAGTGTAACTGCTTATTTTTACGTCTTCAGAAGCTATTGTTGAGGATCAAGTTCAAGTAAATATTCTTCTTACGTAAAAGATCATTAGTTGAAGCAGGGTGGTCTCAAGATAAAGTAAGGTACATTTATGAAATTCATTTGGGATTAGTTTCTGTTCAAGTTTGAAACCTTACTGTGTGTCTGAGATAATGTGTTCTTCTATTGACTAAAGTTATCTGGGTGGGCTTTTTCTTCATGTTTGAGAAATGTACATGATTCCAAGTCAAGTTCTTTTTGTAGCCATTTCCCATGGAAGAAAGGTTTATTTTGCCCAAACATGTCAAATGTTCAACATCTCCTCCAATATGTCAATCTTAATACTCTTTCAATTCTTTTTAGTTAGCGTTGTTTTTCTTTTTGAACCACAGATTAATTAGCGCTGTTTTGTTTCACAAAAATTATAAATACTGTACTAGATGTTTAGGCATTTTTCGGTTAAACGAATTATTTGTTTCCTACCATATCCTCAGGGCAATGCCAGTTAACGTTGATATTAGTTAGTTAAATAAGTCTATCTTCGGCCAACCGGCGAATTACGTGGGAATATTGTTCTATGTCTTTTTAAAATTGAAAATTCAGAAGAGGTTGCAGTGTTTTTCAAGACTTAACGTATAAGTTGTTGCTAAACCCAGCCCATAGTACAAGTAGCCATGGATTGTGCGTAGGCTTCGAACTTATATGGCCCAATTTTGGACCTTTTGGTTAAGATAAAAATATTTGGATCTTTTTCTTTGTTTAAATGAAAAATTAGTTTGGCCTTTTTTTTGTAAGGTAAAAAAATATTTTTTATAGGGTGAATTCAGTTTTGTTTGATTAATTCGGTTCTAGAATTTTTTCAACTGAAAAAACCATAGTTAGCTTGGTTTTGGATCAGTTTCAGTTTGGTTTATATTCGGTTTGGATTGTATTCGGCTTGGTTTGTGTTTCTGTTCGGTTTAATCGGGTTCTAATAATTTAGTTTTTGTTAGAAAAATTATGTTTAAACCATAAATGCATGGTCATGAAATCATCATGTTCGTGATTATAAAAAAAATAAACTATGTAAACTAAAGTCAATATAAAACTAAAACAAAACCTTTAAAAAAAAACATAAAACACAATCAAATCAAAGTTAACTAAAATAAATAGAAAAATTAAAAAAAACAACGTTAATAATGCCTCTTAAAAATAAACCCAATACAAACTTGAAACAAAACCCTTAAAAACCACCAAAAATTTATAAGAACACAATCAAACAAAATATAAACATATTTCTCTATTTTACTTTCAGATATTTGTACTAAAATATAGTTATTTAATAATATTATGACAGTAATATTTTCTTAATTATGTTTTAATAGTTAAATAAAACAAAACATATTCTATTTAAAAGTTATGAGTACAAAATAAAATATATATTATGTTTTAATAAATTTGATTTCTAATCATATAAACTAAAATTTGTAATAAACAATAAATATAGTTATGATTTTGGTATAAAAATGATAAAATCGGAAAATGTTAGTATATAAATCAAACAAAACCAAAATAGATATGATATAATATAGTAACTAATTTGTATAAAGCCGAAATACCAGCAAAACCGGAAAAAAATCGAACCTAAAACCTTATTTGTTGTTAACAGGAATTAGTGTATAACTTCTACTTGTGAATTTATTGTAAGAAAAAGTTTAAAACCTTGAAATGACGATACATTTAATGGAACATGTGTATTGAATTTATACATTGCTAATATTGCGACTATTTATTATTTAGATAATATATCAAAATGACACGAATTTTATATAAATTATACAATATAATTTTAAGAGATTTGATGAACAAAAATTAGATATAACTAAAAGTCTATTTTATTCATGAATGGTAATCAATATCAGGATTACAAAATGTGACTGTTGGATTAATTAATTGGAACTAAAGATCGATCCCTACTTAAACATATAGTGGTGGATCCTAGTTACCGCAACATTGTCTAAATCTAGGAGCATTTTTAAGAAGCTCTCATGCTTAAAAAGACAGACTCGTGAAATGATGAAACACATGCCTTAACAATAAGAATCTTTGACTGTTCAATGATGAAGCACAAATAACTTTTCATCCTCGGACCTCAGAGCCCAAAGGTCACAAAATCTAGCTGACGTAAGTACATATTGCATATATGGATGGGAAGTCCTACTAACAAGTTGGATTGACCTAGTTTTAATCTCAACGTAATATTATTGTATGACTCTTCTAACCTCTAAGGATTGGTCGATAGTCCATTTGAATGGTTCACTCCAAATGGTCAAGAAAAAATATGTAGCTATAAAAAGTTGAAAATAAATGCTGCCACCTCTAATCATCTAGGTCACCCAATGTATCCAACAGTTTAATAAGCACGCACGTTAGACAAAGACTGCATTATTTTCTTGTAATTAGAAAAGACAAGGGTAGTGATTAGCGAAGATGATGGCGCAATTAGTTAAAGATTTATTACTAGTATAACTTTAAAAAAAGATACCATGTAAAGGTTTATCTTTTCTACTACCTACTTACTCAAAGCTATCTAACCAACATAAAGAATTAATATTTTAAATTTGTAACCACATCTTATAAATTTTTGTTCTTATTAGTTACTGTTGAGTTTTATTACGGGCTAGGAACCTTATTTTTCACGGTTTCTGATAAAGTTTAGGTCTTAATTACCAGTGCCGTGCCTGCCTTATAAGAAAAGAAACTTTCGCGTAGGGCATCATTTTTTTCATAAGGCATCAAAACAAGCTTTTAGTTATGTCATAATATGCAATATTGGCCATGGTTAAGCATCACACTATTACCTTTTTATATACTGTTGTATTTAAATCAGTTTGGTTAAAGAGGGACAAATAATAAAAATCTAACATGGACTATTAGTCACCACTAGTACTGCTACCATAAAAAATTTGTATTCGTTTGTTTTAAATCAATTTGGTTTAACTGTGATAAATAATAAAAAAAATTAAAATAATAAGGCTGTACATAGCTAAAAGTTTACAATATCAACATTGTATTTTCATATTTTGGTGATTATCACTTCTAAGTATAATATATTTTTTTCTCAAATTGTTGGTTCTATTTATTGTATATTAATTGTTTAACTTTTATAAAGAAATGCATTTATCTTCGTTTGAATATAGCAATAAAAAGCATGAAGTCATTTGATTATATTATGAAATACAGAATAGTATGAAGGCCATTAAAATATTTTTTATATTTTTATTATGTATTTCTAGGATGAATATAACTTTTTTATATATTTTAGCTCTTTAGTTGTTTGATATGTAAGGATGTTTTTTTTGTCAACAATGATACTCCATCTGTTTCAAAATAATGTATATTTTAGAGTTTTCACACTTATTAAGAAAACACGGAAAGTATTGGGGAATTTGTCAAAACTAGCACATTCATGTTAAACTATTTCACTTTTATATTAATAATCTTTACTCTTAACATTTTAATAGACAAAATACTATTATACCTTTAACTAATTAAACTTAACAATTTTAATAAGGTTTTGATGGATTAGGGTTTAGAATTTAGAATTTAGGGTTAAGGGTTAAGAATTTAGGATTTAGGGTTAAGAATTTAGGGTTTAAAATTTAGGGTTTAGAGTTTAAGGTTTAGATTTTGGGTTTAGAATTTATGTTTAAGATTTCGAATTTAGGGTTTAGGGTTTAGAATGTAGGGTTTAGGGTATAGAACTTAGGGTTTAGGGTTTGTAATTTTAGGGTTAGGGGTTAAAATTTAGAGTTTAGGGTTTAGAATTTAGGGTATAAAATCTAGGGTTTAGGATACAGAATTTAAAGTTTAGGGTTTAGAATATAGGGTTTAGAATTTAGGGTTTAGGGTTTAGAGTTTAGGGTTTAGAGTTTAGGGTTTAAAATTGATATTTTAGGATTTGAATTTTGAAATAGTATAATTTGAAAAAAATACAAAAAATATTTTTGTTTTTTGTGTGTTTTTATTTATTAAAATTTTTATTTTATATATATAAAGAATAAGGGTATAAGAATCTTTTATACTTTAATGAAAAATGTATTTTTGAAAATGTCTCTCTTTTTAAGGTAAATGTGAATTAGTATATCCATGAATATGTATTTATGCAATTCTCTGAAAATTTTGATAATAAATGTATTATTTTCAGTGTTTAGTTATTTTCTATAATTTTTAACCAATCAAAATTTAGTAACCCAATTAATATCTTTGAAATTTACAATTTGCTATTATTATCTAAAATGTAAAACATAAATATTTTAGAAACAATTTTTTTTTTAAACATGGATCATTCTGAATCAGAGGATGTACTAGTTATTAATCTTGATGGATTTCTTTTAAATGATTTTATTTTCTGTTGTTTGCTTCGAGCAGAGCTATAAAAGCTCGCATGGCTCTGTTTATTACAAGAGTTCATTAAGGCATTTCTAATAGTAGTTATTAAAACCAAAATGACAATTGTAAAGAGTCCTTTTTAATTGATTACCAAAATCTCTTTTTGTGGAATCTCATAATGATGCTCTGCTACACTGTTTGACCCGTATTGGATTCCCCACCATTTGTTAGATTTTTCTTCAAT